GGGATCACAGGTTACTTGGTCATTGGAAAAGGAGGTCATGACTCAAAAAAAGTTTTGGAGCCACTGCTCTGGTGAAAGGGACCTCTGAGCCTCCCCAATCCACCCAGAAAGGAGTGGAAACATTCCTGCCTTCCACCCTGCGAACATGCACCCAGAAGGGCTTTGTTTTTGGCACAGGATCTCCCTCCTCTAGGATAGGCTTGTTTTGGTCATCACTCCTGACACAAATGGCTTCCATTAATCTCTCTGTTGTTTAAAACTGACATATGTTTAATGATTAAAACAACATACTGTCTTTCCCCGAAAATAAGGTCTTATGTTAATTTTTGCTCTAAAAAACGCATTAGAGCTTATTTTCAGGGGAAGTTTTATTTTTTTTATGTACAGCAATCTATGTTTATTCAGATACAGTCGTGTCATCTTCTTCTGGTTGCTGCACAAGGGTGGAGGGCATGGTTTCACTCAACTGGGGCTTATTTTGGGGGTAGGGCTTATATTGCGAGCATCCTGAAAAATCATATTAGGTTAAGTCTTATTTTCAGAGAAACAGGGTATTCTGGAAGTGTACCAGATTGTAAGCAGAGGAAGGAAATTTGTGGTCATTTTAATACCCTAACTTTACTTTTAAGAACAAGAAGGCATGTTTCTTATTGAAGTCTTTCCAACAAAAAGTAAGTCTTCTGGAAAAGGTGGGGAAGGGGAGCAGGGAGAGATAACTGGTAAGTTGCTATACAGCAAAAACTGGTGGAACTGAAAGGACAAGCTATAGACAAGCATCCTGTTGATAGAACATTCTCTGATCAGTCACAGGCTTTTACAGGCAATCTTCAGCTACTCTCTCCTCCCACAATCCACACTTTTGAATTTAGCATTACATTTCTGTAATGGCCATATACGTTCATTCTGATATCAATGAATTCACTGGGTCTTACTCCACTGTCTACACAACTTATGCAGTGTTTTAGTCTTCTGAAAAGAGACCTTAATAAAGGATCACTCATGGTTTGTATATGTATTTTGTGGTAGGAATGGACAGGATATAAAGGAATGGAAAAAGGCTACTCCTGCTGGTCTTCTCATTGGTCACCTGGATGACTGACACTGAGCAAAACCAGAGAACTGATCTCTTTCCCTTTGTAAGAGTGCCTCTACAAACAACATCTGACCAATGAGAACAGGCAAGGGCAAATTCTGACATTTTCAGAATAAGTGGAAACGTCAATGATCAAGATCTTACTGTTTATCCATCATCTTTTAGACAATGTCAGATACTTGCAAGACTTTTTTCTGCCAGGCCTGTAGTCATAGAGAAAGAGATTAATGTACAGGGAACTGGTGTACATACCTGTCAGGAATTTTACAATACATCCAAAAGCATGGATACAACTTAACATGGATTTCAAAATACAGTAGTATATTGATTACATACTAAGTAATTTAAGATCATTATCAGGACTCCAGTGAATATTTCCAGAAAGCCGTTTGAATTTTTTAAAAAATGTTTTAAATTATTTATATATTTTTATTGAACTGATCAAATAAAAGAAAAAAATGATTTAAAGAATGACCGGTTGTCTTTTTTATCTAACATCAAATATTTCCAAATGGCTATTTGATTTTTAAACTTTTTGATATGATTTATTTATTTTTATTGAACTGACCAAATGAACGGGGGGGGGGATGATTCAATGACTGCTTGTCCTTTTTACCTACTCAAGCAAAAAAGCTTATACAGCCGTTTGATTTGGTAGTAATACAGAAAGATGCAGATTCAAAACTTGCCCTGAAGGTTGATAACTCGTAAAAGTGTGAGCTGTCAGTCCATTGACTAACCTATGGGAAAGGTAATGAACTTCCTACCAGGAAAGAAAAATGTTGCATATATCAAATTGAGCCATATTATATCTAGGCACTAGAACAGTTTTTGGAGTGTGATCTTAGAAGCAGTAAAGATTAATATGAGAGTTGTCCAGGGTGTTCTTTTCATGTTATAAAATAATATTTCATGCACTAAAGAGAGGAAGAAGAAGCAGACTAAGGGCAAGAAAATGGAAGTAAAATTACTGAGAGATTACTGGAGTAAAATGAGAAGAATGTTTGTGGAAATGAAGCACCCCATCTATTGCTATTCCATGGAAACCTACAGAAGTAGACTTTGTGAGCACAAAGAAGATCCCCCTGAGAGACCCAGCTAGGAACACGGTAGCCCTTTCCAACACAGCCTATATGTTCAATATAATTCTTCAATAGTAGATTAGGGTGGGCAAGATCTCATGCCCCACCAAATTTGCTGCCACACCACTGAATTATTTCCTTGAAAAGTAGAAGAAAAAGGTTCTCTGGCATCTACAAGACAAACAATTTTTGTTCAGCATCAATGTTCACGGTCTGTAGCTTTCTTTTTAAAACAAGGCTCATGGAAAGCATTCAAATTCTGCTCAAAAGCAAAGCGTGAACTGTTCGCATTTGGTTGTCAGAGGAAATCACAGTAACCTTTTCTGCCACCAATCAAAGCTGGCAGAACAGTCAATGTGTTGGCACCAGAGTGGCACGGGGTGGCCTTTGGTACGAGGCATTGTCTAGTCTTAAGAAAAGTGTTCCTTTTCCCATGGAACACTTTGCCATCTCAAGACTGTGAGTCATCAGCACCTTAAATTAATAACAAGCATATCTGAATGGTTTTCAGTTTTCTTGGAAATTAGTCATCCTTTGTAATACACTATGTCTGGCCCTGCAATAATTCATCCAAGCCAATATCAGACAGGGCTTCCCTCACTCTATGCACCTGTTTTATTCCCATGGAAGAACCTAACTACTGTTAACTAATAGCATGGCAAGTACTTGTGGGTTGTTGTAATTGTTGTTTTTAAATGTGTTTTTAGTATTGATTTTATTTAATAAGATGCTTGTTTCATCCTTTAAAAATATTTGTATACTTACTGATTTAGCTTTTAAATATTGTTTTAAATATTCCTCTTTTTAAGGAGATAGGTAGACAACAACTATGGACACATTTACTCTTTAAAAATATATTTTTAATTAAATATTTGCAGCTACAGATTTTTAGCAAAGAAATTTGCAGCTGAAATATAAGAGATGGGAGAAAGCATGTGATGGAGTATGTCATTAAGATCAATGTCTCCTGTATAAATGTATGCAAAATTTACTTAAAATTATGGGGTGTGAATCCATACATATCTATATCTTTCTAATCTTCCAGGTCACTGCTTTGACTCAAGAAGTCTCTCAGTTAAGTAGAGATATGAAGAATGTGATGCATCTCCTGGAAAGCCTATTGCTAGCCCAGAAGTCCCCAGAATCCTGTGCAAGGCACAGCTCGGCCATGAGTCCCAGCATGGAAAGCTTGCAGGCTAGAATGAGCTGGACCACACGCCAACCATGTATGCAGAGACAGGTTCCAAACATTACTTGCACCAAAGCACAGCTCTCCCATTCCAATACGATCGCTGGCATCTGGCATATGGATACAGCTTCTGCAGGGAGCAGTCCACAGAGAACTGAGTCCCATGTTCAAAATTCTACAGACAGTGAATTTTATTATACTACAGGTCTTGAATATTCCCCTTCCCCTTACCATGTCATCCAGAAAGATCATTTGCAGCTGGTGACTTGCACCTCTCCACATTCAGACACTACTTTGACTCCCCTCCAGTCCATTTCAGCAACTCTCTCTTCCTCCATGTGCTCCTCGTCAGAGACATCTTTACACCTTGTGCTGCCCAGCAGATCAGAGGAAGGCAGTTTTAGTCAGGGAGCAGTCAGTTCGCTAAGCCTTGAGAACCTGCCTGGGTCTTGGGACCTGGAAGGAACAACAGGAACCGTATCTGCACAGACCTCAGAGTTGCCTCTAGATATTAAGACAAGCACAGTGGATGTTCAAGATAGCAAAGCCATCGACGTATAATCAATCTGAGAGAGAAGGACTCCAAGCATGCTCCACTACTGCCAGCTGTAAATGTATCCAGTACTGCATGACGACTTCTCTCTTTTCTTTTTTGGCCTTTTCTCAGATGCTCGTGGCAAAGCTGAAAATTCATATGATTAGGAGACCAGCGGAAAGACAACAGCTTCGCTAACTCATACAAGGAGAAGTAATTTCTAAGCTTAAGAAGCACACTGAAAACCTTTTATACACAGAGGTTACTGGCCTGCTCAACAGATTTTTGTGATACTTTGCCACTCCAGAGACCTAAAGTAGCTGGAAAACTACGGCTAAGGAGCCTTTTTTTTCCTGTGGAAAGGAAAGGGTTGGTGTTTTTTTTTCCCCACCCCTTAGTGCTTGATTGTTGCTTCCAGACAATATCCATGGCACTGTTTGCTTCAGGTGTTCTAGGCACCTGCTGGTATTGATGTCAGTGCTGTAAAGGCAAAAGGACAATTACCGCTGCATGTCATCTTCTTGACAATCAACCAAATAGAGCTGGTAGAAAGTGATTAATTGTTGCACGTTCTTTGTTATGTAAATCAGACCTCTTTATCAAAAACACTATTTTTCTAAACTTGGTAAGAAGTATGTATTTAAAATATTTATAAGGAGATTGTTAGGGATTTTTGTTTTCTTCTTTACGGGATAATGCTTGCCGTTTTCAAAATTAATGCACTTGTGTGTGTGTGCACGTGCGTGTGCGTGTGTGTGTGTATATATATATATATATATACACAAAATACTTTTGAATATATTGATATACATATTGAAGTATATATTGATACTTTTGATACACACACACACACACACACACACACATACAATTATGTATTAGATCAAGCAATTCTTAACATTCTCCCTTTTCGCTGCATGCTTTTTGCAATGAATTTATCCATGCCAGTAGCATACAAATAAAGAATAAGATACTATTTTATTTATAAAAAAATAATAAAGCCCAGATGGTATATGTAGTGTTAAGTCAGATACTTGTCAGATAGTCTAGTAAGCTGTACTGCCTTAACACTGATCCCCTTACTTAAGCTTTGCACAACATCAGCACTTTTTCCTTTTCTTTTCCTTTTTAAAGTAAGATAACTATTTAGAATAAACCCTAACTCTCAGGGGAAACTCCTTCAACTACTAAGACAATAACCTGGGAATTCAAAACTGGAATAAACTACAGAATAAACAGCAAATATTACAGAAAAATGCAAGGTTGTTTCCACCAGCATAAAATGAAAAGTTATTGAATAACTAGGGGATATTTATTGACTGGCTTGCACTTTCATACATCAAGTTAATATTAGAATAATGAAATAGACAAATAAATTATTCAAAATAGATATGTCAATGCAGTTTATAATACTGTAAAAATGAATAGTTAATTTATGAGATAGACAGAACTGGCAACATAGACCAACTCCCTTTTTATAAGAATATTGATGTACATTTTGATTATGCAACATCCATGTCATTGTTAGAATTCACTGGCATTGTAATCTCCTTGGCAGAGAATACTGCACTCTTTCACCCAGAGACAGAACCACTCAAAAATCTGTGAAGCAGCAACAGTTGATGTCTTTTGATACTCATCAAGGTCAAACAGTCACTGACGTAAGGACTTAATGAGAACAAAGAAAGCGATTTTTGATCAAGGCCAAAGTTAAAGGCAGAGACATACTAAGTTAAAGGCAGAGACATACTATAAAATAGAGTTTCTGGAGTACAAAGTACTCCAGAAACTCTATTTTATATCTGACAGGCATCCTTTCAGGCTTCACATTCAACTAGATTTTTTTTTAAGTCAGGCATCTATTTCAAATTGTATGGCATATAAAGTGGCCCTGGCTAACTTTATTCAAATGTAAGGCTCACTGAATTCATGTAGTGTGACTCCTCCATAACTCTTTATAATTTACCGTATTTTTCCATGTGTAAGACAATACTTTTGTCTAAAATATTTAGATTAAAAATTGAGGGTCACCTTATACACAGAAGTAAGGAGGGGAAAGGGATCAAAGCACTTTGATTCCTGCTTTCCCCCTCCACTTTCTTGCAAGGAAAGTGCTTTCCTCCTCCACTTTCTTATGAGGAAAGAGCTTTCCCCCTCCACTTTCTTTGCAAAAAGTGGAGGGGGAAAGTGGGAATCATCAAAGCGCTTTTATTCCTGCTTTCCCCCTCCACTTTTTGAGAAGAAAATGGAGGGGGGAAGCACTTTCCTCACAAGAAAGTGGAAGGGGAAAGCAGGACTCAAAGTGCTTTGATCCCTGCAATCCCCCCCCCCACTTTCTTGCAAAGAAATAAATTTTGGGTTAGAAACGTGGGGTGGTTTTATACATGGGGGCATTTTATACATGGAAAAATACAGTACTCACTTGTTACTATTCTTGCAGAAATGTTTATGTGTATTTTAACATTAGGTTCAAAATTAAATGCTGCAAATGGTTAACAAGTTATTTATGGTCTTAAATTATAATCTAGGATTTTCAACAAAAATATTCCTGTGTGGGGTAACCTTCCACAGAAAAGATGCCCTGAAGAATGTTATTTTATAAATCCTGTATGATTTCATGGAGTGCTTCTTATTTTTCCATGATTCTGACAACCACCAAGGAGAAACCTATGATTTTATTTGTGCAACCATTCCACTTTCCTCATTTATTATTTATTGATTGGTTTAATTTACTTATTTATTTATTTATCCATCCATCTGTTTCATTTCTATTTTGTCTTACTCCCAATCCAGAGATCCAGGATGCCTTACAAAATGATTTTAAAAGCAGAGGCGATTAAAAACCCAGTGGACAGAATCCTGTTAGTTAAGATTGCAAAAATGTGGGAATATAAACTGCAACAGTCTGATGGACAGTAGATAACAAGCTGCTGCTTACATAGCTCATTACACATCAGCTCACACAACTATTGTGTAATAAGGGATACTAGAGACAACTTGTGAATGACGATTCATTGCAGCTGAAGCCACCACACTTAGGCTGGTGTAACTAATCAATAGGATTATAGCCATTAAGTTATAAATGTAACCTTTTAATTAAGCAAATAGGCCATGGTCTAAGTAGGGTGAAAATGGCAACAAGAATGCCTGTCTTGCTCACTATCTGTTGTGTCCCCTACTTCATCAGGTCGGTGCAATGGCTGTGCACCCAGTCACAAGAGAATCAGCAAACCAGAAAAGGAAAGAAGGTTGTGTGACTGCCCTTACACAAGCCTGTTTTCCCCAGAGGATTTTGTTTGTAATGGTATTAAAAAGACCACTAGCTTAAAACAATTTAAAACTCTTTGAAAGCATATCAGAAAATATTTAAAAAAATACAAAGTCTTCCATTCAAAGGACTCTCTTTTACATCCTTACCAACTAAGAGAAGGGCCTCCTTTCATTGACATTAAGTTGTACTTTACAGAACCATAAACTGAATTTCACTGAGCTGTAGACACTGCTTTCTTTATGTCTTTATGGTAACATTTTATTTTCTTGCTGTTCCCCACTTGGGAGCACATGTGTCCTTTGCTGCACTATTCAGTGGCAAATCATGAAATAGTATCTACCAGACATAAGCCAATGTTTTAACGAGAGATCTATTTTCCTGTCCCTTTCCTGCATGTATCCTCCCCTAGACTGAAAAGGATAATTAATTGGCAATACCAGGAAACCCAACTTCCAATATATTAAAATGAGACTGCAGGAGTATTATCCAGATTGGTGGGGAAAATAGTTAACTTTTTCAGCATGAAAGCACAGTACAGTTGGAAGAAGAGGTGTTTTCTATTGAAAGCAATCATTTGATTTTTGACAACAAATATATAATATATATATAATGATTATATTTCGCTTCATTTTAGAAATACAAAATATGTAGAAATAAATGAACAGGATCTTTGCACAATGATCCAGTACTATATATTTGGTTCTAGAATTAAAAAGACAATTCAAGTAACAGAACAGAGCCACTAAAGCTCGGCTGACTCCTTGTAACCTCTTTTTAATTGTACATGGGTATCCAAGAATATGTTTCAGTCTTTATGGAGGTGAATGAAACCATGGAATGTGACTTCTGCTCAGTTTCTGTCCATGAATTTCTACTGGGAAATGGGTGAGAAAATCTTACAAAATTGTCCTGCTCCCACCACCACCATGGGTGTCATTGTCTGAGTTAGCATCATGGAAAAAATGATACTGCTGTGGATCTGTGTGTCTGTGGCTGTGTTTGTAGGCAGAGGGTTTGGTTTTCGGTTTTTTGAGGGAGAGTACTTTCAGTGGAGGAAGTGACAAAATGATGAGTTAACTGTGAAGATGAGAGGTGAATACTGCAAATCTAATGACATTATATTGAAAGATGTTTTCAGTAAAACTACAATTGCCAGCTAGTCTCTCACAGTGAAGAAAGGAAAGACCATCCCATTCAACGATACTTACTTCAGGCCTTTGGGGAACTGACATATTGTTCAACAAAATGCAACAATAAAAAAACAGAAGCTTCAAAGCAAAGCTGCCAATATGTAGTTTGTTCATCTGTGTCCGTCCATCTGTGGGTTTGTTTGCTTTTAGTTTCCTGGCGTGGGGGGGGGGGGCAAAAGGAGCATCGCCTCTTACTGGCTGGGCCAGTACTTGAACTAGGCACTTTTATAAACAGAATATTTGACAGGGAGGGCCAGAAACCATCTGGCATTCTTTTCTGAGAGTTCTCCTAAGTGGTAGCCAATACATTTGCCTCTAGCCTTGCTATCCAACCTTTCTGAATTTCCAATCGAAATAATACCTAATTAAGTCACTCTTTTGCACCAAGCATTATAAACATAAAATATATTGGTGTTTACTATTTTCATTGTTTTCTGATTAAAAACCAGCCAAAGAAAAATCTTCCCATAACTGCACTGCTCTAATTTTATACTGTAGGTAGAGATATACCCAATTTACTCATGTTGTACCTTTCTGATTTATAAGTACTAAGGATGGGAAAAAAATTAAGCTGGCATCCTAATTCAGCAGTACAAGACTGGTTTAATATAAGGAAGCAAAGCCAGATTGTAACAGCCAAGCACTCCATAGCCATCTGCCTAGATGGATAAAATTGTCAGATATGCTTCCCCTCCCCATGCCAGTCAATTTTTAACTTTGAGTTTCTATGCAATTTATGAAGAAATTTTTGAATTTTCATATATTGTTGTAAACAGTAGCTGGGAAACTCACTTGCACATTTTAGTCTCTTCCCTAACAAAGTTCTCATTGGCTGCTGACAGCAGTGAAGGCTGGATTCTGTTTTTGGACCACAGAAGATTTAATGTTAGTTGCCCCAAATGCTTACGATGTTGCCCTTTACTAGTCAAACAATTATCTGGTATATTTATTAATTGTACTGTGATGGTTCTTGGGTCTGGAACTGCTGGCTAGCTCAGTGGCTTAGGTTTTTGGCTGCAGAGTCAGAGGTTATAAGTTCGATTCCACACTTTGCCTCCTTGAGAGAGGCTGGACTTGATGATTTGTAGCATCCCTTCCAGCTCTGCAGTTCAAAGATTATTAAAGAAGAAAGATTTTGATTACTCTCCTTCCTTTCAGTTCATGCTCACAATCACTTTGTTGCAATATCATG